CTCTGTGAAGTTCATGTAAGAAGCCAGGCAGCATCAGTGTTGTGTCCATGACAAAGTGCCAGCTATGTTTTGTAATGCTGGGTCAATGTCTTTTTGTCCTTTTTGTTTCCTTTTTCTCTTCTTCTCCTTCTGGTACAGCCTTGGTCTTTGATGTCACGGGAAAAGGAGCACATCACCTTACCCGTTCCTGTGAAAACAGCAGTAAACTTATTTAAAATGAAGTAACACTGACTTCATCTGCCTTCCTCTAAGCAGAGGGAGTACACTGCTCATGACACCAAGCCAGGCAGCAGCACCTTGCCTTTAGGGATCAAGTTATGGCACACACAGCATTCAACATGCAGCATTTCCAGTTTTCACTCCAGTTTGCTACGTTGAGCAAGTATTTTTGCATATTATAAACTTGGTTTTGGTGAACAGAAAGAATCCAATAAGATCCTGACTACACCTTTTACAGCAGAACAGGTCTGTAACTTCTGCAGCTCACATATTCCTCACCAGGGGACTGTTCCAGCTACTGAGAAAGCACAGTCAGGATGCAAGAATAATATTGTGTTGGAAACACAGGAGAAGTCACGGATCAGCAGGAATAATAGTCTTACTTTAGCACTACCTATCACCTCTTGGACCACACCGGGGCTGTTGCCACTGCACTGCCTCCTGCCTGCTGTGGGCAGCAGGTAGACCACCATTCAATGGCTTGGCCACCAGCCCATGCAATCCCTCAGCTGCATCTCCTGCACTGCTCCAGCACTGACTGTGCCTGACAGGGGAGATGGCTGATTACAGTGACAGCCAGGGTTTCAATCAAGAGAGGAGCTTGTTTTAGCACAGGCCTGTCTACTCCAGTAAATCTCTGCTTTTATCAGCTCTGTGCAACTGACTCATTTAGACCCCATCGGTGGCAGTCCATCTCCTCGCAGCCTCTTGTCAGTGACAGCCCTCAGGTACCTAAGCATGCCAGGCTTGATACAAGTCAAACCCTGCTGCGAACAGAGATTAACCTGCAAAATGATGCAGTGCTCCTTTTAAGTGTATTCTAGCCAGGCACAGGAGAACTACAGACTCCATCAGACTCAGTAAACTTTCTTCAGCCTCTGCGGGTCCTGCATCTCATCTGCATTCACTCTAGAGGCTGAATAAGAACAACCAGTGACACAGGCAGCTTGGCTACTGCACAGGAGCCACAGGAGTAAAAAGGTTTCTAAGCAGCCTTTGTGTAATTGAGTAGTTTTTGTCAGAAAACACTGGAATGGCTTTCAAAAAATCTGCATAGCCATGTTGAAAATGAAATATTCATAGATTTAATATTAAAATATTTTATTAAATTAATATTAATTCACCATTAAATTTTAAAGAGTTTCATATTTCATAAGAAAATCACAGTGAAACCACCAAGAGGGATTTAAGGCATGAAACCAATTATACAAGACCGTTAAGCAATGCCTGGAAAAGCAATCTGAAAAGTTTCCCATGATAAGGATGAATTAAGGGAGTTCTGTTTACAAACAGCACTATTTGTAGAAGTTCTCACTGGAAAGGACATTTGCTCTCACTCATAAATGTTTCATGTACATTACTAGAGCATCAGCAGGCTAGTCCTCTTAAATGTATACATTTAGCCTCTTTTTCCTTTGCTCCCCTTGTATATATACTTTGTGGAACCCAACCTTTTCATTAAATCTGGGTTAGATTTCCTTTTGCCAAAGGAAAAACAACTATAAAATACATCAACAATGGAGAGGAAACCCCCTCTTTCTGTGATTACTCGATAAAGCTCTCCGAGAAGCTGACTAACAGACTGCTGAAGACAAAAGCTTTGATTGCACTCAATTACCTTCTGACAAAGCAATGGAGAGAACAGCAGAGGTTTTTTCAAGTGGGTCTATTCAATTTTTGCTACTACTGCTAAATCCAAAAGTTAGCTGCTTCTCGAGGACCCAATTTTCCTCTCCATAAGTACACCTGTATCTCTTCTATCGATGATATTTGTAAGCGTTTATTTTGATAACACCAGATTCATACGCAAAAGATTTTGTTCAGTTATTCCATCTCCTTTAGCAGTTCTTCTCAGATGCTGCTTTCTTTTGTCCTCTCTTAAGTATTCTTACTGCCCAGCAAACCGCAGTCAGAACATTATGGTCAGTTCATTTTGGATGTGAGCTCCCAGTCTATAAAGTTACAATGCAGAATAGCCTTCACTGCCATACAGCATACCCAGACTTAGATTAATTTTCCAATAACATTAAAATCTTGTTTGCATACCAATAATACTGGCCTAAAACGATGCATGGGGGTTCCTAATTAGATAAAGCCATTGTTTAGAGCCAGACAGTGCCCGTTTACAGTTCAATAAACAACTTGTCACAGTTGCTTGGTCAGAGCAGACCTGGATGTCAATGGAAACAGTTAGCACAGAGGTAGCGAAATAAATTGGTCTCCTGGGTAAATAAATTGAGCAGCAATGTGAATATGCCTCATCAGGAAAGACTGTAATTTATAAAGGCTTTGTAAATAGTGGTTTCTATACACTGACATTTAAGGAAATAGAAAACCTTCTTTTATGGTTTTAAAAAGAAAAGTTTAACAGTGGTCTCTGGCCTGTAAGTTTTATATGTATCAGTGTGGACAATGCAAAATAATGCTAGCACTTGCAACAACATAGGATTTTTATCAATAAATAAGTAAAATAACTATCCCAGATTATGGCACGATTACAGTTCCCTTGTTAGCTTTGCCATTGGAGTACCTGAGAGAATCAGCCAGAAGCACGCTGACTGCTGACATGCTTCTAGCCAAGAAGTAATACAATTTCCCAGCTCTACCAGCACCACCAGTCCACCTCTTCAGTGTGTGCACACAACCCTATGGAAATAGAACTTTTGAGTGTGATACTACTTTAAACATTTCTATTTATTTAGTATTTTTCTTGTGAATAGTCTCAAGAAAGCCATTAATCTTGTGCAAGACCACATGTATTTATATAGCCAGTGCTTCTTGCTTTTAACTTGACTGGAACTAGCTAAACAGCTAAGAATACAAATGGTGCTGAAGAGTCTGCAAAGCTGTTCAAAGAAAGGTGCAGGCTTGATAAGTATCTATTACCTTTAAGAATAAAGTGGTTAAAACCCTGAACTGAAAGAGATCTGTGTCTATGTGCATGCAGATATAGATATACAGATGTGCTGCAGCTACTCAAACCCACCCAAATCCAAGTGCAAAGGTTCTTACCAGTACTGCACTCATTTGCAAAACACACCCTTCTTTCCTGCCTGTGTCTAGACTGATGAAAAAGTGATGGATTGCATTTTCTGGAACACTTCCCAAACCAAAGGACATCGACAATGTTATTATTTTCATGGAAACAGTTTGCTTAGCCTGAATTAATCTTCTATTTTTGCATATTAATCCATGTACATCTATAATAAGAGGAGGTGGGTGGACAACAATGGCATTAGTAAAATCCTACATAATTCTGGAAGGAATTAGAGAAACAGTCTGCCTTGCTATTTCCTTTATTGTTCATAATGGGTCTTCCTTTGACACTTCTCAAAAGAAAGGGAAAAATATCTATTAGATTTCAAGTCCAAAGCAATTCATCATGTGAAAACTATTGAACTATTTAAAAGTTACCTCTTCAAAATGCACACCATGTTTGCTCCTAAAATGTAATCTTATTGCAATGCTCTTTATAAATTACTTACTGAACCAAAAGGCCTTTTACTACCAATTCCTGGTGTAGATTCCAATGCTTCTGAACTCGGTATGCATTACTAACCCAGCCACTGGGTGTTTCAGTTCTTTACAAAAGAAAGGTAAAGCAGTTCCTATCATCTGACTGCAATACTCCTAGTCACCAGCCCAGAGAAACACTGAGTTAGTTCACTCCTGTTTCTTCAAAGTCTAACATTCTCAATTTTTCCGCAAAAAAAGCTGGACTTTAATTCTAACTCAACTCCTTTTATTCTAATTCAGCTACAATGACAAGGGGTAACAGGTTCAAACTTAAACAGGGGAAGTTTAGATTGGATGTAAGGAGGAAATTCTTTCCTGTAAGGGTGGTGAGGCACTGGAATGGGTTGCCCAAGGAAGTTGTGAATGCTCCATCCCTGGAGGTGTTCAAGGCCAGGTTCGACAGAGCCTTGTGTGATACGGTTTAGTGGGAGGCATCCCTGCCCATGGCAGGGGGGTTGGAACTGGATGATCTTAAGGTCCTTTTCAACTCTAACTATTCTATGATTCTAATTACCCAGTTCATTTTACTTGAGAACAGCTAGTTCTATTTTTCTTTCCAAAGTGAATCTCAGAAACCAAGTCAGCTCCAACTAATCACAAGCAGGTTTATTAGAACAGAATAGATATGGGTAATTTCAATGGAAACCTCTGCAGGAAGGGAAAAACTGCACATTATCATGGAATACAAGCGACAAGATCATTACAAGCTCCCTGTGCCTCCCTTAGCATCTGCAGATTGTTCTTCTTCAATTTCTGTGTCCTTTTTAAATTCAAAGACAAATGTCATAGTTTCAGTTCCTCTCTGTCCCTACTATGTTAGAAAATTAACCCTTCACTGTGTCTGAAGGCTGGCTTTAATGACCCTGAGACAGTGCCCAAGAAAATTTCGATCTGTTTCTTCACAGCCCTTGATCTGACACTATCACTTCAGGGCAACATGACTTACCTGCTCAGAGGCAGACTGTTGCTCCTTGTTTTCCATGTGAATAGCTAACGAATTCTCTTTACAAAAGTCCCTTGGATCATTTCTCTAGCTCTCATCCCACTTCACAGTCCTGGGACACAGAAGCAGCCATTCCCTATCCAGAAATTACATAAAGTTTTAAAGTTCGGGACAAAATCACCAGTCATTTTTCCAGAAACAGCCGCATGCTCCCCTTTCCCCCACCCCTCCACAACACACGACTCACCAGCACTATGCTATCTGCATCCAATGAAAGAAACCTCCCTCCAGGAAGGGGCCGGGCTACAGGGCAGATAACAAAGGGGGAATTCGTGAGCATACAGCCTCTTCTGCAAAGGTGGTCTTCTATATAAGCGCAAAAGCAAGACTCTGAGAACTTGCCATCAAGTAACCTCATTTCCAGTTTCCAGTTCTTTCCTCTGGGACATAAGTAATGGTGTGACACCAAAAATAACCCCTACTCTTTTCCAAATGAATCCCATCCGTGTTGTTTTCCTTCCCTCATTCCACCCTCTCTGGCTTAGGAAACACACAAAAAACCGACTTCTCTCTTTAGCATTCCCTGAAAGACCCATCTTTCTCACAGTTGAAAACTATTTTAACCTGAAATGACATTATTAGCATTACTATACAACTGAAATAGTATGCAAATTTTAACAGTAGGGAGCTTTGTGATGCAGGAGTATTGAAAGTCCTAAAACAAGGCACTGACCACGTTAATCTGTAATCTCCTCCCCCTACTGAAAGCATGTTCCCTTACCATAGCTTTATTTTAACATAGCAAATAAAGGAAAACTCCTTCATTCAGGCCGAATGAAGAATATATATAAATGCTCATGTAGATGAACACCAATATGGAGAGAAATTGCCCATGTCATACACTGTCTGAGTGAAGGCACTGTGCCTCTTATCACAGAGCAGAACCAAGAAATACATCAATAAATAAATAAAGATGTAGACTGTCCTTTTGGTTATTAGGCTAATGTATTCCAGGAGGAAGGGAGGAGGAACAGAGTGCTCTTCCAGTAAGCATGTGGTTGTGCAGGTATTAACTGAATGAGAATACTGTAGCAGAGCTCCAATTTGCAGGAGCCTGCAGCAAGGTTGCATTCACAATAAGGTCAGTGAAAAATGGCAAATACATTAACAAGTAAGCTACTCCCATAAGTGTATAACATCAGTATTTTGGGGGAATTGAAGCTGCAGTGGTAATCTAGGTTAGCATGTATATAATGACATGTCATGTCATGCACAGTGTCAATCTGCAATGCCAGTTTGGTATTCAACCAGGCATGTTATTAAAATGGAAACTTCTGACTGACATTTCCAAGGAACATTAGTTCTTCCATAAGGAACTCAGACCTCACCTCAAAGAAACCCATAAATAGAGTGAAGTTTGCCCACTTCAGTGTCCAGCAGTCCTCCTACACAGGGTGTGAAGCAGTAAGTCATTTTCAGTAGACCAAGGATTAAGTCTAATGCCATTCTGTCCTTTGCAACACAGAAGTACACGGCACCATAAAGGTATTGACCATCATCAATGGAAAGGTCTATCAATACTTCTGGCTGTGAAGCACATAGCAGCCACTAACAGCTTCACCAAGCTGGCCTACACAGCATGAAGTTCAGCAACATGTGGAAGAATAACCTGTAAATGATCATTTTAGTGTTATTTTTCACCTGATTTGTAAGCTAGTGGGTGAACCTTGGTCTTACTGAATTCAACCAGACTTGTGTCACCAACTTAAAATGACTGAATATTTCCCACTGCAGAAACCTTGCACGAGACTGTATTCAATACAAATGTTCTTAGCTATAGAAACTGTGCATGATAGCATCCACTAGTCAGTACATAATACAACAAATCATGCTTCACAGAATTTCCCGTCATTAAAAAGAAGGCTAGACACTTCTTTGAAGAGCTGGGTCTTTCAATGCAGTGAGGCAGGATCCCCTATCACACTGCACAAGCACTGCTTGGCTACAGGAACTGAAGACAGACCATTACTTCCTGCAACTATGACAATTGCAAAGCTGAGAATGGGAGGTAAAAGGAAGTGGAAGTGGTTAAAGGTGATAGCGGAATAGACTCCACAACTTCGTTAAAGTTGTAAAGTAGGTATGCTTTATTCAGCTGAAGACGCACGGGGGATTGGTCCTCCAAAAGTCATGCGTGCCCCAGTGTTGTTTCCCTTTACATTTATAAGGTTGCACCATACGCCTATACATATTCATGTCCTATCCCCGCTTCGTATTACAGTGAGCTAGAAGGTCCTTTGCGCCTGCGCAGTGCCCCCTCTGGTCATAGGTAGGGGTCTTCAAGGTGAAGTAAATGAGTCTTCCTCTTCTTGAACTTTTCACCTTTTAGTCTTCACGTATGGCCTTCGGGTTTGGTCCCAGCCATCAACCATCTGCTTCTCCCCTTAACAGTAGATTCAGGGGTCTGCTTTTCCCTATCAATAGGTGCTTATCAGTAGAATCAGGTGTCTGCTTTTCCTTGTCAATAGAACCAGGTGTCTGCTTTTCCTTATCAATAGCTAGTGCTTTTGTTCTGCTTAGTAGGCATGATAGGTACAGACAATACCTTTGCTTAAGCAATCGAATTCCTCCAACGCCCCTGTACAACCCCCCTGTACATTGGTCAACCCTCTGCATCAAAGGGTTGTCAAAATCTGGCTGGGCTCCACCAAGCTCTTAAGGACTAACTCTGAGCCAACTCAAGGCTTTCCAGCAGGGAAGGGAAAACCTCTTAAGCAATAAATTCCATGAAAATATCTCTTAAATTTGTTTTTATCAAATATTTTGGGCTAGTTCTTGTCTAAAACCATCACCAGATGTCTCCAGTTCCCTCTCTAGGCATTCATAAACACACAAAAGCAAGATCTTCTTGCATGATCACAAACACTTTTCTTCCATATGCACACCTTTCCCAAAGGTAAAGAGGCTTGAAATCCAACCATTCCCTGAACACTTCTTGAAGAGTTAAAGAGACATTTACATAACAAAGCATTGACACGAACCAACCCATCAAGCACTGTCAAAAAAAGGCAGTGGTTGGTAATGCTACTACTTACTTTAAGCAACTAATATCAGATGCAGTAAAGTGCTCCATGAGTTTCAGCTTTTAGGTATACATCAATGCTAAGTAGAAGGTGCAAAATACATGCCTGAAGTTTACAGGTAACATGACTATTCCCAGCTGCAACAAGGAGAAACATTAATACCATCATTTAACAGTCAGAGTTGAAAAGCAGTATTTTTGGTAGTGCATCTCTGGCTTTTTATCCAGAACTGGGAGGTGGTGTGCACCAGAGCACACATGTCTTTAATCAAAGGGGAAAGTAACCAGCTGCTCAAAGTGTCTTCCACCACTGACCAACAGAACTTCTGTTGTTTTACAGATCCAGCTCCCATCTCATGCAATCACATCAGTTACCTGCATTTGTTTAACCTATTCCACTGAAAGCACAGCTGCCCACTTTGGGGGACAGGGCTTTTCTTCCTCCTAACTGGGCTGTCACTCTTATGCATATGACCTGGATCCACCATTATTATATGACCTGGATATGACCATTATGTACATGGACCTTCTATTTAGAAGTCCCTCCAGAGGCTGCCTCCCCACCTCACCTTCAGTTTAACCACATCCTGTCTCTCACCTATGCTGTGGTGCCCATGCTGATCCAGGTCTGCAATAGCACAGAGGGAGCTTCCCTGGAGCAGCTTTAGCAATGACTGTATAGTCAATAAAAAACAGAAGGTTACAGCACTGCAATAAAGAGTTCTGGTTCTGGAAGCTGTTTTTCAGTGCTCTTGTCACATTCAGGTCTCAGGTTTTGTTGCTTGATCTTGTCTCCATTCATTACACTTCCAGGAATGTGTAAAGCTTTACATGGAGCATGGCTCCATCCTGCCTCAGGACAGAGCAGCACAAACTCCTTTAGCCCCTTTTACAGTCCAACTTGAGGCACTGCAAGGGTAGAGGGAAGTTTTACAGGCTTATAATCAGATACTAAGAAATTTGCTCACCAGTGATTAAACAGATGCTTTGTTCTGGAGCGTGCAGATATTCTGGGTTTGATGAAGAGGACCATCTTTACCAGCAAATAAATAATGACCCATTTAATAGCCAAGATGTAACTTTAAGTCACTGTTACTGCAGTTGGAAATTACTTATCAGGAGTGTTGATTACCACTGAACTTTCCCAAAAAGCTTTAAGATTAAGAGACATTCAGTGCTCTTCTTCTGACAGGTACCTCAAAAGGAGACCGTGAGAAGAGACACACAATGAAAACCAGCAGGTTAGACCATATGAGACTCCTTATTAAAAACATAAAATGCCTTTCACTCTGGCTTTTATTAAGTCTACTTTTCAAGCTGCATGAAAGTTAGGTGTGCCCATTATAATACAAGTCACGTCGAACTGTTTCATTATCCACATCCTGCAGCACGATAGCCCACAGAATACCTTTTGAAAGCTCCAGAGTGACGGCAGCAGGTTGAATATAATGAACAGCGTTACAAATGGGGACATGAGACGACAGGTCTGGTGAAGGAGGAGTCTCCTGGAAACCGTATGGCTGTAATTACTGAGGGCTGGTGCTGTCTCAGTTGGCTTCGAACAAAGGTAACTGCCTTCAGCAAGTTATATTTCCTCAGCCAGCTAAAAAGAAAGCGGAGACACAAATATTTATGATACACAATACATAACCAAAGTCATTGTCTGCTTTTATTACCTTATTTCTGTTGGAGCTTTGAAGTCTCCCACATCAACACCACAAGAGAATTAAACAGTAAAGGACTAATTTATTTTTAAATTAGACTTCTAAAGCCAGAAAGGTTGAAGTCATAGGAAGACAAAATGCTCTTATTCTGGGCACTTGGCTTGCACGTCACATTTTTCTTCTCAATAGTTCATTTGGTTTGTTGATGAAGAATCTGTCAAGCAGAAGTCAGAGGGAGATGAGACCTCTGCCTCCTTGCACAGGAGCTCCCCTCAACAAGCACTGAGCAGTGCTAAAGGGAGCACGGGGTGCAGAACACATGGCACTACAGGAGACAGCAAGACTGAGAAGAAAGCTCAGGCTAATCCGTGTTTTCTCACCTGTGACCTGCTAAATCTCAGAAATGGGCTTACATGGACTTAGCCATACAGCAAAAACTCCTAGGGAAGAGCAGACAAACATGTCATAGTTAGATAAGATGTCAGAAAGGAGAGAAAGAATATCTCTGTTGAAGTTATTCCTCAGCTGGCAACTAAGTACCACACAGCCACTTGCTCGCTGTTTCCAGCACAAACCCAAAACGTAGCCTCAAATTAGCTACTATGAAGAAAATTATCTCAACCCAAACCAGCACAATACCATACTCTTTCATGGTTAATTATCTAAGGGGAAAAAAACCGACAGAGCAAAAATAGAACAAGTTCAAAGAGGTGCAATAAAAAGTACTACAAGTTTGGGAGAAAAAACCCTACTGTCTTTATAATGAGCAATTAAAAAGGAGGGAAAGTTAACTTGTGAAGAGATGAATAAATGGTGACACAATAGAACATGAAATATAATGAATGGGAGAGGTCAGCCACGTGCACCTGCCTTCAGTCTTTTCCATTGTATTCCAATGTGTTCCATTTCCATCTTGTGTCACACAGTGCCTCCCAATGATACAAGGGGGCAACACATTTTAAAGTGGACAAAGCGATGTAAAAAATGAGCCTGCAGAAGTTACTGCGATAGCATTTAGATGGTATCTGGCAAACCCAGAGTGTCATTGTATTGCCAGTTATGGGAAAGCTGGAAGGAAATGCACCAAACTAAGGACTCACAAGAAGGTAAAACCAGAGAGGATCTCACCCTCTTGATCACATTCCCCCAAAGCTGCAAGTCCTCCATTCTCCATTCAAGCTTTGTTAATGATAAATGTGATTGATAAAGTGTTGTTTTTTTATCCTGTATTGCTCTCCCTGAAGAGGTGTAACCAAAGCTATAGGCAAGCATGCCTTTGTCAGACCAAGCAGCAAACCTGGGGAGAGGCTAGGACTGTTTTGAGATTTAATGTGATATAATTGCTGACTCCTATCCTAAAAGAGCAGCTGCTGTGGAGTCCTTTGGGGAGACCTGAAATGATGAAAAGTGACTCCTACATTCTAACGACATGCAAGGTAAGGAAACAGGAGACCATCTCAACAGCTAAGTGTTTCACATGGCGAGCAGGAGCAGAACTGGACAGATGCTGATGGGGTGACTTGTCAGAAGCCAAACATGCAAGTGAGAGTAGAGTTCATAGGAGCAAGAGTGTAACCGTGGAAGAAAGCATGACTCTAACCATAGACCACACAAGACAGAAGTTGGTGGATCACTGTGGGCACAGCTGCTGGATTGTGAGTAGCTGTTGTATGCAGGTCTTCCACAGGGAAAAACAAGTCCCCTATGCCACTAATACAGCCTTTCCCAAAAAGCATCAATTCTTTTGCCCTGCCTACCACCCAACCAAAGCACCCAAGGGCCAGAAGAAATAAAACCTTGAAGTAAGGCAAAGGGAGCAGTGACGGCCAGTAAAACTAAACACAAACAGAAAACCAGAGAAAACCAAGTCTAACCACCAGTGCATATTTTCTATTCCTTCCCGAGAGGCTCACATCTTACCATTACTGTAACTACTGTGCCCTAAAGGCCTCTCCACAACCACAGCTCTAAAGGGCAGCCTTTAACAGATGCCTGCTGTCCATCACACCTACATTACCTCCTCATACTGCTACTTTAAACCCTTTCTATTCATAGCATTGAGAATGGGGCATTTCACAAGGAGGGCATGAGCAAGGCAGTCTGAAAATTAACTGTAAACTATGTTCATACTCTTAGTACTACTAGCACTAAATTTCCCACTCAACTGTTTGGAACTGCCAGTGGCTTAAGATGCTGAAAACCGTGTGTGCTCAAGACCTGGAATTCTGGTTTCCTTTCCCTTCTGACAAGCTGTCAGCATCCTGCAGGTCACAAAAGGTAAATACACCTGAAAAAATCAACTCTTTCATTCTTTTAGGGTGTTTTAAGTTCCGAAATGCTCCATCTTAGCTAGTTGACAGTGCATGAGGAGCCCAGGAGCTATACATGACATGGAAAGCAGCACATGGCCCAAGTCCCAGAGGTGTCTCTATTCCAGCCCTTCCAGAAAAGGCCACCTGGCTGCAAGCTGGGTTGCTTGGCCAGATGTGATTTACTCCTAACCTCAGTGTATTAGGAAGATACAATGGGCAAGGACTACCTTGCTGAGGTAAGTAGCTCGAGAGGACGCCTTGAGCACTGGAGCGGGGGGAGATCAGCGCCCAGGAGCCTCAGCTCAGAGCGCCAAGAGCCACCGAGGGAGCCTCAAGGCCTCGACAAGACCTGCCCTGGAGCCGGCAGCTCAGCTGACGCGAGCAGGGACTCACAGGGGGTGGAGCCAGGAGGAGCGGCACCAGCCCTGATTGGTTAAAAACCTGCCCCAGGGAGCGCGGCGAGGCAGTTTGCGCGGCAGTTCGAGCGCGATGGTGAGCACTCGCCGCATGACCAGGGCCTGGTCTGGGAGCTCTGCTCTGGCTGCCCTGGCGGTGGCCACCATAGGCACACAGACAGAGCCGATAAGAGGGGAGGCTGCAGTGCAGACTTCGGGGTGTAGAGAGTGCCTGCACTGCTCTGGTGAGGGAAAGGTGCACAATGGGCAGGGCTGCACTGGGTGCTCCCTGGTGGAGGCTCTCCTGCAGCAGGGGCTGAGCTGCGGGATGCTATTAATAGGCTACAAGATGTCAGGGAAGCTGAGAGGAAGCAGAAATGCTTGCTCCTGGCCCAAACTGTGCGGAGTCCTCAAGCTTCCCCTATAGCTTATGGAGGAAAGAAGGAGGTTGTTAACCCATGAAGCTGGGAATTGGTGACAAAAAAAAAAAAAAAAAAGGAGGAAAAGGACAATTAAAAGCAAGGGACTTCCTCCTAAACCTGTTGCCCTCACACAGAACCACTTTGCTGTCCTGCAGGGGGCTCATGAGGAAACACACTCGTGCCAGAAACAGCCGGCTGATGCACTAGTAAAGAAGATCTCTACTGGTGCTGCCAGGAAAAAGTGGCGGGTCATAGTAGTAGGGGATTCTACTTTGAAAAGGACAGAGGCACTCGTCTGTCGGCCTGACTTGGTCTCAAGGCAGGTGTGTTGCCTACCAGGGGCACGGATCAGGGATGCGGCAGAGAGGCTGCCTGCTGTAGTAAGCCCCACTGACTATTACCCACTTCTGGTGATACATGTGGGTGCTAGGGATATAGATAGTAGTAGCCTGGGGAACATAAAGAAGGACTACAGAGCCCTGGGAGAGGTGGTTAAGGGCTCTGGAGCTCAGACAGTGTTTTTGTCTATTCTCCAGGATAAAGGGGAGGACCTTAAAAAAAGCTAGGAGGATTGGCCAGGTTAATAAATGGTTAAAAGGGTGGTGCCATAGTCAGGGGTTTGGGTGTCTTGAACACGAGACCCAAGTTAGTAGGCCAGGTCTACTGGGAGCTGGTGGAGCTGGTCTGACAAAGAAGGGGAAGAGCAGTTTTGGTAGGAGGCTTGCCAGACTGGTCAAGGAGGCTTTAAACTAGATGTGTTGGGGGAGGGGGGCATCATTCCATCCCAACACACCCAGTCAGTTGCCAGCACCTATAATAAATGCTCGGAGCAATGCAGAGATATTCCGCTGCTCCAGCCAATGAGCCGGCTTCATTTGGAGCTCGGCTCAGATGCCTCTATACAAATGCCCATAGCATGGGGAACAAACAAGAGGAATTAGAGATGTGTGCTCGTCTACAGGGGTATGATATTATAGGCATCACAGAAACATGGTGGGATGGCTCCTATGACTGGAGTGTTGGAATGGAAGGTTACAGACTCTTTAGAAAAGACAGGCCTGGCAGGCGCAGAGGGGGAGTTGCCCTTTATGTTAGGGATAGGCTGGAGAGTATGGAACTCTGTCTGGGGACTGGTGAGCAGTTAACAGAGAGCTTGTGGGTCAGGGTTAAAGGGAAAACAGTGATGGGAGACATTACTGTGGGGATCTGTTATAGACCACCTGATCAAGAGGAATCTGCGGATGAAGCACTCTATAGGCAGATAGGAAAAGCCTCACGCTCACAGGCCCTCGTTCTCATGGGTGACTTCAACCACCCTGACATCTGTTGGAATGACGGTACGGCCCGGCACAAGCAATCCAGGAGGTTCCTCGATTGTGTGGAAGACAACTTCCTTCTGCAAGTAATAGAGGAACCGACAAGGAGAGGTGCCATGCTTGACCTCGTGCTCACCAACAGGGAAGGGCTCGTTGGAAATGTGGCACTGCAGGGCAGCCTTGGATGCAGCGACCACGAGATGGTTGAATTTGAGATCCTTAGGACAGTGAGAAGAGCGTGCAGCAAGCTCACTGCCCTAGACTTCAAAAGAGCAGACTTTGGCCTCTTCAGGAACCTGCTTAGTAAGGTTCCATGGGATATAGCCCTAGAGGGCAGGGGGGCTCAAGACTCTTGGTTGGTCTTCAAGGATCACCTGCTACAAGCTCAGGAGTGTTGCATCCCAACCAGAAGGAAGTGCAGCAGGAGGGCCAGGAGACCTCCTTGGATGGATAAGGAGCTCCTGAGGAAAATTCAAATGAAAAAAGAG